CGTTCCCCTACTGCGGGGCGTATTTGTAGGACTGTTCCTGGCAGCCGCGGGTGCATGTTATATGTAAATCTATTGCAGTGGGTGCAGAGGGTAAGTGTTGGGTGGGGGTAGGTAGGGCTGGGCCGTGCTGAGGACGAGGTGGATGATCTGCGTCTCTAAAGTGATATACCAAATGAGAGCTTTACGTCACACTTTAGCCAAACAAAGCTCGGCAGGCGCAAACTGTGGCAACGGGGAGGAAATAAAAAAATTAAAAAAACAAAACAAGCTTTGGATGGGATCATAAGTGAGAAACATTATTGGGTGCCGCTGCATAACTTTTTTTTTCCGTAAAGCCTACAGTTCTAAACAGGGCGAGACGCACAAATGAGTCGAAGGCCCGTGCCATATCTAAGGCCCGTGCCATACCGGCCACACCCGGCAGTCTAAGGCCCGTGCCATACAGGCCACCCCGGCAGTCTAAGGCCCGTGCCATACCGGCCACACCCGGCAGTCTAAGGCCCGTGCCATACAGGCCACCCCGGCAGTCTAAGGCCCGTGCCATACCGGCCACACCCGGCAGTCTAAGGCCCGTGCCATACAGGCCACCCCGGCAGTCTAAGGCCCGTGCCATACCGGCCATTGCTAGCCTGACATGGCGCTCGAAGGTGTCTGCATGTACCTTGATTTATGAGCAAATCTCCTGTCTTGGAGCCCATGAATCAACGAGCACTACCCGGCCACGACCATCTCTGGGAAGCCCCTCACCATCCCACAATGCATTGCGGTCACCTCTCTGCTGATGTGCGCACATTGCAAACAAACTTTAACATGCATTTCAATACGTACAAAATCCTCCTCTTCGAACTGCAGCTTTTTCTTGTCCGCGTTCTTTTCCTCTCGGGTCTCGGCCGACTGCTTCTCCTGCACGGAAGCGTTCTTACGAGAGAGGTTGTGTCCGTTGCGGTGACGGTGGCCGGAACCGCCTGTCCCGCCATTTCTCTGTGAGGCGCTGTCAGACCTTTCCCGCGATCCCCCGTGCCATCCTGGCTGAGAGGATTGGTTGGTGCCTTTAGAGACCCCAGAGTCCACAGAATCATGGCGGAGAAGAGACGGCTGGTGCCACGAATCTCCTGGGGAGAGAATGCGCCAAATCAGAACATTGACTTCATATCATTCACTGAAGAAAAGGGTTATAAACTAGGGCTGGTACTGATTAAAAAAATCGATTCATTTCGATAACGCATATAGAGATCCAGCTACATTGGCCTATACACATACAGCACAGCAATGAATAAAATGAACTAGGATCACACTAATCCAGCACGTTATTAATCTCACGTGCCCCCACCCAATATGGCCGCCGCTTGAGTGGGGCAACTCAGAATAATAACGTGCTGGATTAGTGTGATCCGAGTTCATTTTATTACTTCATTGCTGTGATGTATGTGTATAGGGCCGATGCCTTGGCTGGCGCTCCTGCAGAACAAGTTTCTTGGGCAAACTCACCGGCCCAAGTGGCTCCGTCGGCTAACGAAGGGGGGAGGAGTCCGGTGACGTCACTGACATCGCCCTCACCGGACTCCTCCCCCCTTCCCTTCGTTAGCCGACGGAGCCACTTGAGGAAGGGGGGAGAAGTCCGGTGACGTCACTGGATCGCCATCGGGACTCCCGGAAGCCGGCGGAGAGGTGAGTGTTTTCATTAGCGATCAAAATAATTTGGATCGATCAAAAAGTTTGACGATTAAGCGAGAAATTAATCGTTAATTTCCGCAGCCCTATTATAAAAATGCAAGTCTACTTTGATGGAAATGCGAGAATTGTGGTTTGTACATAATTTATGCCAGAGCTAAAATCATCACAGCAGTGACTCCTCCTTCAGCGCTCAGCCGGGCGTTTAAATTACAGGGAACTGCAAAGCAAGCTGCTCTGCTCTCTCTAGCTATCCCAAAGTTCTCTGGGAACCCCTTTGTCTTTATTAAATAAAATCTAAAAGAAAATTGAAAATTTACCACATTTATTATAGTTTTCTTTTAACAAAATTGGAGCAAATGGAAGGCTCTTGCCAACAATGACCAATCTGGTTTCACCTTTCGAATGCAAAAAGACTGGTTGTGATCAGCAAAAAGTTTCCCGGCACACTCACCAGCCAGCATGCAAAAAAACCCGCTAAGGTTAAAAACAGAGGTTTAGATACACGTCTTCTGCAGAAAATGTGAAAGCCGCACAGCCGCGCCAAGGCGCCTCTATATAGTGCAGGCCTAACTCTAACCTATAAGAGTCTCCATCTTGGAGCACATGGGGCAGAAGATAAAACTGGATGCAGGTTCGCCAGGAGGCAGCCCGACCTCCTCATTTTGCTTGGTTGCGATTATCAACTCCACATTACTCCAGGTTCCATAAATCTGCCCTTCAGTGTACATGATCGGTGCAGATATCGATCTTTCATACATTTCTAGAATATATTTCAGTGACGCATGCAGAGGGAACAGAACGACTAAAAAATGGATAAGCGCACTACTGCGGTAACAATGGAGGAGAATAATAATTACACATAATGATAAGCAGTGTGCGGTCCCTATCCTTCCCCCCCTCGTGTTTCCACCAATCACATAGCCACACAGCTGGTTACTCTGCCCAGCTGTCAGATTTAAACGCCTTCTTTCCCGCCATCCCTCCTGCACATTTACCCAGGCTTGATAAAGAGGCAGAGCCTCGAAATGCGTAGTCGCCTGTTAGACCTTCGGTGCTCTCTCACCCCATTCCACACCTTGCTGTGGCCACCTTCTTTAGGCCCCATTCACACACAAATCGGCCTGCACATACAACTCTGTGCTGCGTGCGGAGCCGTACCAAGCAGCTGCCCGGGAAGGACAGGTGCTGCGTGTGATTAGTACGCAGCCCCCTTTCCCCCCCCTACGCTCACCTCAATTGCAGGTCCTTAGGGGTGAGGGTTTTCTGGCCGGGACGCATACAGGATCCATTCCGACGGCGTATGAATACGCTCACCTGCACCCCTACGGACCTGCAATTGAGGTGTGTAGGCGCACGTAGCCCCATTAGGCCCCATTCACACCTATGCGTATTGTAATATGCGCGTCTGTCGCGCGACCGTCACGCGGTTTTTTTTTTTTATTTTTTTGACCGTTTTGTAGAGCGTTCATCGAGCGTAGGATGCGCTACAAAACGGTCAGGTGTGAATGGGGCCTTAGAGAAGGACGGGGGCTGCGTACTAATCACACGCAGCACCTGTCCTTTCCGGCAGCTACTTGGTACGGCCCCGCACGCAGCACAGAGCTGTACGTGCCGGCCGATTCGTGTGTGAATGGGGCCTTATAGTTGCTCCGTCCCTTGCTGGACATTTTTTCTACTGGAAGTGCCTGTCGGCACGGACGCTCCCTGTTTAACCGCCACGGCTCAGCCTGGCCAGCTGAGCACGTTACTTTTTATTTTGTTTCTTTGGGTCACAATTTGGTGGTTGATACATCGGGGACAGCATCCAACGAGGATCATACATCTCCCATACACATACCTTGTGGATCATCGGATACTCCTTCAAAACGCAACCCCGTTTCAGTCATGACTCCACATGGATGATGAATATTTTTACGTCTCCATTGATGCTACACGCACCCCTCATCCGTCACCATAGGATCAACATCGTCTAGATCCAACAGTGAGTCCCTGCACCTCTTTACATATACATTGGTTTATAGCTACTACACCACCATAAGTATTTCCCCAGGTAGTAGCGCTCCTTTTTTTTGTGTTTATTCCACATGCAGAGGGAAGTCATTCACACAATCACCTCCATGTTGTCACTTACCGCCTGTGGTGCGGAGAGGTCCGTTGTTGAAGAAGCCATCGGAAGAGTTGTGTCTTCTGCGACTCACCCCCAGACGGCCCTCGCCCCGGGGAAGGTGCTCGCCATGTTTCTCAACAACGCCTGCAGAGGACTACAGCAAAAGGAGACAAAACTGAGAACCTGCAACAAACACTCCTCGCATTATATTTCATAAACGCGTCGGTCGTACAATATCTGGCTCAGCAGCTCGAGATGGAAGCCGCCATTCTGTGAGCCCTTCTTAAAGCCAACGTCTGCCACAATAAAGAACGTATGATAAATATATTTATTTTAACACGGTAGAGAAGGGTTAGAAGTAGGGCTGCAACAACTAATCGACATAATCGATTATTGAAAAAGTTGTCAACTTTCTCAATCATCGATTAATCGGCTTCCGATTGGTTGGCCCTGTTCACGGCTCCACACACGCTGCGCACCACACCTCCTCCCCACCTCACGCTCGCCGCTGCCAGACCCGCCCCGGCAGCATCCACGCTCCACACGCTGCACCTCCTCCCACCCTCACCGCCCACATCCACGATCGTCAGAGGGACGCGGGGAGATGTAGTAAGGAGGAGCAGGTGTGGGGCGGATGACAGCCGCCGATAGACAGGTCCGATCTCAGAAACAAGTAGCTGGAAGACTGCTCAGGTAAGCATGCACTTTCCCCCCACATGGTGCTCTATAATGTATTGCTGGGATAGTGGGATTAGTATTCCTCTATAGCTGATGGTACATTCTTAGAGGATGGTTCATTCTGCTGTACTGTATATTATACAGCACAATGTACCATCAGCTATAGAGGAATACAAATCCCAGCAATACATTATATACTGTATGTATAATGTATTGCTGGGATTTGTTGTATTCCTCTATAGCTGATGCTATTCTGCATTGCGCTGTATAGAGGTCTACAAATCCCAGCAATAATATATTATACAGCGCAATGCAGAATACCACCAGCTATAGAGGACTACAAAACCCAGCAATACTACATTATAGCTGGCGGTATTCTGCATTGTGCTGTATAATGTACTATTGCTGGGTTTTGTAGTCCTCTATAGCGGGTGCCATTCTGCATTCATTGCTGTATAATTTTACACTTTTCATTTTACTGTATTGCACACCACACTTTTTTCTTTCTTTTTTACTTCCACCGCTCCAAGCTTGCTCCTGTGATGGGCTGCAATCTCAATACAAACTAGTAGTCCCATCACTGGAGCCATTTTTTAACATTTTATTTTTTTAAACGATTAACTCGAACGTAATAATCGGCTAACTAATCGATTTTGAAAATAATTGTTAGCTGCAGCTCTAGTTAAAAGACCCGTCGGGTTTCTCACACAGGTATGTGGGCGCTGTAAGAGAGTACAGGAAGGTTACATAAGGACCCATTCACCCTTGCTGTTAAGGAGACTCGGCCGTCAGAGATGTACGTGGACCGCCATTGCTGGTCTGCTTTTGAAATCAGCCGAGTAAAAGGATTCAGCTCTTTTGGAGTCATAACCAAAAGCATCAGCATGACAGCCAGGGAAACAACATTCTCCCCCCTACGCTCACCTCAATTGCAGGTCCTTAGGGGTGAGGGTTTTCTGGCCGGGACGCATACAGGATCCATTCCGACGGCGTATGAATACGCTCACCTGCACCCCTACGGACCTGCAATTGAGGTGTGTAGGCGCACGTAGCCCCATTAGGCCCCATTCACACCTATGCGTATTGTAATATGCGCGTCTGTCGCGCGACCGTCACGCGGTTTTTTTTTTTTATTTTTTTGACCGTTTTGTAGAGCGTTCATCGAGCGTAGGATGCGCTACAAAACGGTCAGGTGTGAATGGGGCCTTAGAGAAGGACGGGGGCTGCGTACTAATCACACGCAGCACCTGTCCTTTCCGGCAGCTACTTGGTACGGCCCCGCACGCAGCACAGAGCTGTACGTGCCGGCCGATTCGTGTGTGAATGGGGCCTTATAGTTGCTCCGTCCCTTGCTGGACATTTTTTCTACTGGAAGTGCCTGTCGGCACGGACGCTCCCTGTTTAACCGCCACGGCTCAGCCTGGCCAGCTGAGCACGTTACTTTTTATTTTGTTTCTTTGGGTCACAATTTGGTGGTTGATACATCGGGGACAGCATCCAACGAGGATCATACATCTCCCATACACATACCTTGTGGATCATCGGATACTCCTTCAAAACGCAACCCCGTTTCAGTCATGACTCCACATGGATGATGAATATTTTTACGTCTCCATTGATGCTACACGCACCCCTCATCCGTCACCATAGGATCAACATCGTCTAGATCCAACAGTGAGTCCCTGCACCTCTTTACATATACATTGGTTTATAGCTACTACACCACCATAAGTATTTCCCCAGGTAGTAGCGCTCCTTTTTTTTGTGTTTATTCCACATGCAGAGGGAAGTCATTCACACAATCACCTCCATGTTGTCACTTACCGCCTGTGGTGCGGAGAGGTCCGTTGTTGAAGAAGCCATCGGAAGAGTTGTGTCTTCTGCGACTCACCCCCAGACGGCCCTCGCCCCGGGGAAGGTGCTCGCCATGTTTCTCAACAACGCCTGCAGAGGACTACAGCAAAAGGAGACAAAACTGAGAACCTGCAACAAACACTCCTCGCATTATATTTCATAAACGCGTCGGTCGTACAATATCTGGCTCAGCAGCTCGAGATGGAAGCCGCCATTCTGTGAGCCCTTCTTAAAGCCAACGTCTGCCACAATAAAGAACGTATGATAAATATATTTATTTTAACACGGTAGAGAAGGGTTAGAAGTAGGGCTGCAACAACTAATCGACATAATCGATTATTGAAAAAGTTGTCAACTTTCTCAATCATCGATTAATCGGCTTCCGATTGGTTGGCCCTGTTCACGGCTCCACACACGCTGCGCACCACACCTCCTCCCCACCTCACGCTCGCCGCTGCCAGACCCGCCCCGGCAGCATCCACGCTCCACACGCTGCACCTCCTCCCACCCTCACCGCCCACATCCACGATCGTCAGAGGGACGCGGGGAGATGTAGTAAGGAGGAGCAGGTGTGGGGCGGATGACAGCCGCCGATAGACAGGTCCGATCTCAGAAACAAGTAGCTGGAAGACTGCTCAGGTAAGCATGCACTTTCCCCCCACATGGTGCTCTATAATGTATTGCTGGGATAGTGGGATTAGTATTCCTCTATAGCTGATGGTACATTCTGCTGTACTGTATATTATACAGCACAATGTACCATCAGCTATAGAGGAATACAAATCCCAGCAATACATTATATACTGTATGTATAATGTATTGCTGGGATTTGTTGTATTCCTCTATAGCTGATGCTATTCTGCATTGCGCTGTATAGAGGTCTACAAATCCCAGCAATAATATATTATACAGCGCAATGCAGAATACCACCAGCTATAGAGGACTACAAAACCCAGCAATACTACATTATAGCTGGCGGTATTCTGCATTGTGCTGTATAATGTACTATTGCTGGGTTTTGTAGTCCTCTATAGCGGGTGCCATTCTGCATTCATTGCTGTATAATTTTACACTTTTCATTTTACTGTATTGCACACCACACTTTTTTCTTTCTTTTTTACTTCCACCGCTCCAAGCTTGCTCCTGTGATGGGCTGCAATCTCAATACAAACTAGTAGTCCCATCACTGGAGCCATTTTTTAACATTTTATTTTTTTAAACGATTAACTCGAACGTAATAATCGGCTAACTAATCGATTTTGAAAATAATTGTTAGCTGCAGCTCTAGTTAAAAGACCCGTCGGGTTTCTCACACAGGTATGTGGGCGCTGTAAGAGAGTACAGGAAGGTTACATAAGGACCCATTCACCCTTGCTGTTAAGGAGACTCGGCCGTCAGAGATGTACGTGGACCGCCATTGCTGGTCTGCTTTTGAAATCAGCCGAGTAAAAGGATTCAGCTCTTTTGGAGTCATAACCAAAAGCATCAGCATGACAGCCAGGGAAACAACATTCTCAATGGCAGACCCCTTACTTTTTTTTGGTAAAGACACTTTAAATCCTTGGTTCTCAACTGGTGGGTCGCGACATTGTGTTCAGTGTTTCCATTTGTCTAGGCGAGAGGCTTCTCAGCCTCCTAGCGCAGTACTGTCAGTTCTCGCACCAAATAGCCATTCATATGCTGCTCAGCGTCAGCTTCAGGTGGGGTGGGCTGGAGCTATGGCTACATCCATACTTGCATTGCTTACAGCTTCCTCGCATGTCCTCTAGAGCAGGCCTTCTTAAACTTTCTCCACTCGTGACCCCTTTTTGGGCGAGGAAATTTTTAAGGGGCCCCAGCGTCGGACGGTGTCTCTCCCCTCTTTCCCCCAGTGTCGGTCAGTGTCTACCCCCTCCCCTAACGTCAGTCGGTGTCTCTCTCCTAATCCCCCCCCCCCCAGCGTCTGTCAGTGTCTCTCTTCTCGTCCCCCTCCCCCTCTTGTTTCGAGCCCAGGCCTCTCCGGCCGTACCCCCTTGATGGCAGCCCTGGCCGGGGATTCAGATGTTGACCCCTCCTGTTCACTTGCGGGACCCCATATGGGGTTGCAACCCACACTTTAAGAAGCACTGCTCTAGAGGTGCCTGGACTGACGTCATGTTTTGGCCCCCGGCACCTCTACAGGACGCGCAAGGGGGTTGTATGAGCGATGCACAAAAAGACGGAGCTCCGTCACAGCACAGCAGCCCACGCTGGACCCCAGGCGGAGGACCCACTCCAGTTCTTGTAAAGGTGGGGAGACTGGTTGCACCTTAAAAAAAATAAACTTTTTGTAGTGTGTATGACAATGTGTCTGTGTGCATCCGTCAGTATTATTGAGGGCCCGTTCACACTAGTACATTGCGTTAATTGAACAGTCCTGTGCGATTAATGCACTGCACCGTGCAATCGCACCTACTATGCATTCTGGTGTGGGAGGTGCGTTGCCATTCATTTGATTCGTCCACACCGCAACGCGCGGTACCGCAACGCTGTGTGTTCCATTGAAGTGCGAATTGGGGGTCACAACTTAATGGCCGAGGACAAATGTGGGCCCTGAGGTTACGCAGGTTGAGAACCACTGCTTTAAATAACCCGGTGTTATGCAAATCCTGTTCAGCCCAGGCAGCCACCACACCTTAGAACGAGTACACTGCAAGATATGACATTTTCGGGTTTAGATTCACTTTTAGTTCCTAGAAGTTACAGTGAAACAATGCAAATAAATAAAAACAACACCAACAAATAAAGAAGTGTTACCTTGGAGGACTGAGGTGTGGAGAAGCTAAGCCAAGCAGGTACAAAGTCATGCTGCGCCATTTAGGTTGTAGGTCTAGCAGTGAATGGAGGCATTAATCCTCATGGCCAAGGCAGGGGCTGCTGAAAGACACATACAAAGCGCTGTCATTCCAACACTTCCCGTCAATATAAACACATCACCAACATGCCTTCCCGGGGCCCTCAAACACGCCTCATGTTTTTAATCACAGCCCATTCTATTTTGGGTTTTTGGCCGGGGCCACTCTTGCTGGGAGCGGCTGAGCTGCCGGGGCCACTCTTGCTGGGAGCGGCTGAGCTGCCGGGGCTTTCCAAGTCGCCACCCCCCGACCCAAAGGGCCTGGCCATTTGTAAGCTCTCCTGAAGGAACTATTCTATTCAAGCTTCTGCAGCGAGACCCCCATTCACAGCTGCCATTAGGGTCTATTCCGAATTCTGGCGGCAGTACTTGTGCATTGCTGCTGCCGCTCAGCCTATACAAAAGGTAATGACAGGCTGACAACAGCCGCAGCGGTTTGTGACTGTTCGGATGTAATCAGACAAAGCGGATTACCTGTAGTTAGGGACAGATGATCATCCCAGGGCACAGACAGTCTGCAACCAGGGGCAATCTTCTGTCCCTAACTGCAGGTAATTGGCTTTGTCTGATTACGTCTGCGCAGCCACCAACAGCTGCAGCCACTGCCATTGCTTTGTATAGGCTGAGCGGCAGCCGCTATGTACAACCACCTGCGATTCTGGTTGCAGGGATAAGGAATAGGCTTTAACTGAAGGTGTGAATGTGGCCCGGGAGGGAATAAAAGCGCATGCATGGTCGGTTCTAAAAGCCCAACTCTAAACAAAACCTTTTCAGTGTAGTCAGAGTGTGGGAGGATGAGAGTCTTTATCCCATTGCCTGTGTGGTCACCATGGCAGAGTGTACGTCTATTGTAAGACTTTGATAATTTTTTGTTTTGCTTCACCTGGAAAGTATCCATCTATCAGCGCTGGCGTATCGGAGCGGGGAGGGGGGGAATCCAGTCCCTCCCCTGTCACGGCTCTCTGCAGTGACAGAATCGAGAAGTGAGCGAGCACCGACCTGTATGTGTTCGCTCACCTCCCGATCAATTGAGTCGACCTGTGACAGTCTCATTGTCACAGGTCGGCTAGAACTATGAGGTGAGTGAAAAGCCCCTCCCCCTCCCCCCTCATAGTTCTCCTTTAAACTGAAAGTGCAAACATTTTTCTAAAGGTCCTTTTCCATGTTTAGAGATGCAATTTCCTATAGGGTTGTGTATGTTTTAGGGCTTGTTTGCACCTATTACAGTGCGTTCCAGCATGGGCTAGCTGCGGGGCCATTGATTTGAATGCACCGCCAACGCCCCCCTCCCGCCCCAGAATGCCGGGGGGAGTTTAGTATGCAATATAGTGGGGGGGGAGGGGGGGAATTTATCAAATCTGGAGCAGATTTGCACTGCAGCCAATTAGCTTCTCTCATTTTCAAATCTTACCTTAGCAAACTGAAGAGAGATGCTGATTGGTTGCCATGGGCAACTGCTCCAAATTCTGTCTGCTCCAATATTGATAAATTCCACCCAGTGTGTTCCAGCAGCTAACCGCGTCGGATCGCACTGTAACTGGTGTGAACAAGCCCTTAAAAAATGTCTACCAAAAACAAAAAGGCATAAACATTCCTGAGCACATATCTTCAAATAAAATAAAAACCAAGTTATTTTAAAATATAGACGTTTACGGAGCATAAAAAACAACAAAACTAATTAAAAGAACTCCAAATACAGAACACAGGACAAGCCTACTCACCCTCAGTCTGAGCACCAACGGCACCTCCTTCCAGTTTTGTGGGACGGCTGGGCGCAGGGCTTTAGATACGATTGGTGAGGGGGAGGGAGGGAAGGTTGGCCCCTCGAGAAATCTGGCAAAGGCAAAGACCCCGTTTCTACATGCCAGTCTGCCCGCTATGCCAAACCTGCCACTTAAGGGCTCATTTTGCTCTCTTTTTTTTTTTTTGCACAAAAAAAGAAAAAACCCCAAAAACAAAATAAAAAAAAAAGTGAAAGCTTGAGCTGTGTAGAGGTCACATGGGACAAGATTCCATCAACTACTCAATAATGAAAAAAAAAACTAATGTAA